CAAACAGACTTCAGTGGAATTTATAGGTCTATAATTGTTTTAAATTGCAGCTCAAACGCATTGATAAAGTTGAGTATAGATAAAGATGAGTTAGACATCGATTCGGATCTTTAAACTGAAAAACTTTCGTTAATTTGAATTACTTCTGAACTTCCTTATTAATTTATATTAACAGCGTTTTATGATATATAATACTTAATTTACTTGATTTATTATTTTATGCGACTTATAACTTAATTTGATTTATAATCAATAAACCCTGCATAACATCAACGACATATTTATATGTCGTTATACACGAAATCTTCATTTCGTTTGAAGTCATAACTTGAATCGGAAAATCCCATAAGAAATGAATGAAAAATCGAAGGAATTGATATATTATGTGAAGACTAAAAAAGAAATAAAGATATATTTCTTATTTATTATCTCTTTTAGCATGTATATGTAGTTGTATATAATGCGCATACCTCTGAATGATTTCAGAATTATATATAAGTATAATGCTCAGCCGAAAATTTTTGTGTCTTTCATATTTACTTCATTTTCTTTATTATATAGAATTTTATATTACATATTTTTTATAATACTATAAGTCGCATATATAATCTAAAAAATATTAATCTCTTACATGATTCTAGAGATTTAAAAAAATACTTTTTAGCTTATCATACATGTAATTTCAATATGGGCCTATCATTTTTCNACTTTCCTGTATAGATCCACACAATAGAGTCTTCTCTGTATCTTTGCCAAACTATCTTGGTAAATCTGTAACTTTAGATCAATGCAGATAGGAGTAATAACAAAGGACATCCAATCGGCTGCCTTTTACTAATAAAATAGAATTTATTTGTAGCTATCTTTTCCAAGAGTTTACTAGCAACAAAAGAAAACAAACAAGACGAAAAGAAAAAAAATTCAGTCCACCATTTGGATTTTAGTGAAGGCTGTAAAAATGCAATACAGGAATACGGAGAAAAAGATCACTAAACAAGATGACGGAATTTTTTTCCCTTCTTCTTTTCTGCAGTTCCTTTCAAAGAACGGGACACTTAGTGAATGAAGTCTTGTCCGAGATAAATATCGATAGAAAGTTTTTGACAGTAGATCTTAACTGTTCGCCTATATTGCAAAAGAATAGATCATGTCTCTTGACAGAATGCATCACTCAGAAAAGATTAAATTTAACTTTCTCGACATATTTTCCTTGTTAAAAAATAAAAAAAAATAACAACTCAAAAATACGTTTCTTGGATTGCTGACCCGGTTTTTCTCTTATAAACTTCAGTGTTGAATAAATGTATCTATGTATAATATGATTATGTCAAGCGTCATGGTTTACAAGATAGATATACTTCGAAATTGTGTTTTTGTGAAAAATAGTCGCGAAAAATAATCTTTGTGATTACAAAATGTTATATGTCAAGAATTGTTTTGTAATGTAAAAAATTGAAAAAATATTTTTATAAAATAAAGTTTAACAGAAGAGCGGGTCACTTAACACTTGTAACTCCAGTACATTAAAAAAAAGCGTTAAAAGATATAGGGGAAATACGGACAAAATGACATATACGTACAAAATGACATAGGCAACATAATTCGAATTTGGCGGTCTCAAGCTCGCAACTGACCATGACACAACGTTATCCGAGCGGCTCTTACTAACCTGTCAAAATGTGAACGCACTCCTCTCATACGCCCGGGTGTCATGGTCGACAACAAGAAATGACACGTTATGAGTTTTTTTCCTTGCAACAAGTTTTTTTGTATAGATGGTAATTTTTTCACTATTTTATCTATTTGTGTAACATTTATTTCAACCCTCAAGAATTTGTTGTTGTTAAATAACTTTTTCCATTAAAAGTAACATCTTTGTATTTATTTTATAATTTTGTTTTTTTATAACGTTATATGGACAAAACGACATACATAGGCAACGAACATAATGACATACCTGTTATTTAGTCTATAAGAGCTTAGTCAAGGAACTTACCTTAATCTCTCAACGTTTTATTAATTATCAAAAATGTCTTCCAAACAAAGCCTTTCATTATTGTTTAAAAGAAATTTTAGTATGAAACTTTATTTCCCTTCTTACATATTATTTACAAACTTATTATCTTTCACATAACAAAAAACTTGCAACGAATCACATGACTCGACAAACCTCTTTAGTTTTAACTTCTACTCTTAATATGGAGGCAATTAAATCAAAAAAATGTGTCCAAAGCTCCTCCAGAGAAAAGGAAACGAAATATTACTAAAAAGTTACTTGAAGAAGAAAATTTTCCTGATAACTCTCATGATGATGAAGAAGACTGTCCACGCATATATTGCGATGATTTTTTTCCCCGATTTAAGCCTGGAGGAGACTGGTTACAGTGCTTAAATTGTTTCTGTTGGGCTCATGCTTCTTGCGCTGACGTTTCTAAAAGAACCAAGCGTTTCATTTGTGAACTTTGTCAGTAATTTTATAGTTTTTACGTGTATGTCATTTTGTCCATAGTGGATGATCTCGATTAAACTAACAATATTTTTTTCCTATTATTTTAATATTGTAAATGTTTAGTATATTTCATAGGTAAAAAACCAAAGATGATTGGTGTAGAATATGACAGTGCTGTGATTTACCAATAAAGAGTTATGAACCTAAAATAAAACCGTATGTCATTTTGTCCGTATTTCCCCTACT